TCTACAGAATAGGTCCTGGCAGCAGCTCGAGCACGTAAATTTGGGTCTTTTTGCATAGCTTGGATAGCTAAGACTAACCGGCTTTCNGTCATTTTTCAGAGGCATCCTTCGTTGTAGAGAAATTTAATATTTCGTGGAGGTGTGGTGGGGTCGCCGGGTTTTGGCCGGTTCGCTTGTTTGGCCGGTTCGCTATACATGCACGTTAGTTATAATTATAAATCGGGTTTAAATACTACTTTTAAATCTGATTATAAGTAAATAATATATTAAAAAGGTTGGATTTCTATTTTAGTATTTATATAACTTCTTATAAAAGTATAAATAATTTAAATATAATTTATACTCGATATAAGCTATTATTTCGCGCCTACTTAAAAAATCGAGTTATTTAACTAGTTTTTTATAATTTTATTCAAGGAACGCTAAGAGCTAATTAACCCCTATCTCGCTTAGCTAAAAGATAATATATAATAATCGAGTACTAATGTCACGAATCACGTGCTCACGTGATACTTGTCATAATAAAGAGGCGCAACCCTCGACAGGCACATCCAGGTTTCTTATAGCAAATAGGGATTGCTTAGGCCAGCTAAGCGATCCATGGATTTCATTTGGTTGTTGTCACGTGATGGACCCCGATGGATCCAGGAAGGATCCAAAGGGATCCACGGATCCAAAGGGATCCACGGATCCAGAAGGGATCCAGTAGAACGAAGGTTCTATATAACACTGGCATGTCTGCCACTAGATAGGAGCTTCGTGCTCAACTTAGTCTGCAATCTTATCATATTAGTTTGACATCTTTGATACAAGTAACGAGTTCACTTCCAAGTGAACAACCCGATAGTCTTCTTCTTATCATAGCATACCAACCAGCGAACACCCAGCCAAGTTTAGTTAGCCAGTTTGAGTATTCGTTACAACTAACTACTTACGAAATACCTACTCCCTATCTCTATTTCTAATCCCTATTCCCCCGAATCTCCTTATCTCTCTTTCTAATCTCTAACCCTTTCCTTTATAATAATAACTCTATTAAAAAACTCCGCTTTCCCCTCTAAAGTACCTACTTACCTACCTATCTACCTACCTTTTTATCTCGCTAAGTCTAAAAACTAAATAAAATAACAAACCCCTTCCTTTTATATAAACACCCACCTACCTAATATTCCCTTATCCTTCCTTTTTCCTTTATCCCCTATTATATTATATTACTATCTTTTACTTAAGTATACTTATATCTATAACTAACTTATCCCCTAATACCCTAAAACAAATTAAGACCTCTTTTATAGTACCCCTCTACTTATAGAAGCTTATGATTTAAAAAAGATTACTATTAGTATATAGTATCTCCCGCCCTTTCCTCTCCTAGCTACTCGGAAAGGAGTAGGAGTACTAGAGAGTTAGCTTAGTAAAGGAGAGGAGAGCGGATTTTTGAACTAGATAGAAGTAAAGAAGAAGAGGTAGGATTCGGGACAGGAATAGAAAGGAGAGGTTAAAATAAGGTTAAAAGATATAGCTTAAGCGATATTCTTTTTACTTCGTAAGTAATAGTCTTTTACTACGTAAGGTCTTTTTACTATATAAGCGATAGTCTTTTTACTACGGTAGAGAGAAAGGCACGTAGGAGCGCTAGGGAGGGTTCGTAAGTAGGTACGATAGTACGTGTTAGCTAAGGAGGGGATCTACTTCGAGTAATTTCTACTATATTTTAGACCTACTAAAACCTATAATACTAAGTCTTAGGAGTACTCCTACCCCTTCCTATCCGGTACCCTAGCGAGGATAAGGAGTATTAATTAGTTTAGAATAGAATAGATAGGAGAGCCTTCTAGACTTAATAGATAGGCCTCGGAAAGGAGTGTAGATAGGAAAGGACGGGAGTAGAACGGACGGGAGATACTATACACTAATTACTATAATATATATCTCTAACCCTTATTATACTTCCTTTCGCCAACTAGCTATAAACAATAGCGTAATAGGAAGACATAAGACGTACCAACTAACATCTCCTAGCATTCTCTTTCATTTTCAATATCATAATAGAAGAGAACAGAATAAGGTAAAGAACACTATTAACACACTGTTCTCATAACGCCCTACCCGGCCTGGCCTAGCCTTAGTATATATTACAAATAAGCTATTGTATTGATCAACCCACCCATCCATCCACCAAATTTCCCATCTTGTCATCTCCAAGAGGGTATGTACTTCTCCGCCATCCTCTCTGTGAACTACAGAAATATATAGTCAAGTCAACGATCCACCTCTTTAGCGTGCATATCGAAATGCAATCCCCGCCCAACAACGACGAAGAAAGGAGTTGATAGTCTGTATCTATCATCCATCCAAATCCACCATCAGCGCAAAACAAACCCTACAAACGCCGGTATCCCAAGTTAACAAAAACAACACTCGCTAAAACGCCAACCATGCATGTGAACTGAATCGGCCCCACAAAATCAAACCGCTCCCCTCCATTCTTGCAATTTTTCCCGGAGATGCGAAATGTACAATCAAAATCATCATGTTCGTAAACTGTCTAGCAACCCCTCATGGCCTGTTCTGTTTCCAAGCTTATGAGGAAGCCGCTGGAGGCTGGGTCGCCGGGGCGGGAGCGGGAGCCTGGGTCGAATCAGGTGGAGAACTAGCATTCTGAGTCCTCGTCCTTATTCGAAACCTATCCCTCAATCGGCCAGTTAATCTGGCTCTTCGGCCTTGTTGCTCTTCGACCTCTTCTACCGCTTCCCCCGTCGTTCGAGACTGTTCTCTTAATTGTCGAAGCGCGGCAATTCTTTCATCTGGAGGTGCGTGACGAAGCCTGTGGAGGTCCAAGAATCGAGTACGACGGCGATGCTGTGTAACCGCTGCATCATCATTTCCCTCACCAGACGTTCGTGTACCATTTTCTCCCTCAAGTGGTGGAGGTAACTCACCACCCTCTGCTGCTGTCTCTGGGCGAAGATCGTGGCGACTGATGAATAATTAGTTTTGTCATACATCGTTCGAGAAAAGAGTCTTACCATAATGGACAAGTACCAGACACATTCAATAACCAAGGGTCAATACATGCTGGGTGGTATTTGTGGTTGCAAGGTAAAACCCGAACATCTTCTCCTGTGGTAAAATCTTCCGTGCAGATTGAACATTCCAACTCCGCTTCCGTGATAGACGCTGCTGCTCCAGGTGTGCTGGAGTTGATAGATTCTGTTTCTGTAGCTGCCGTACCAGACCTCGTGGCAGCATCAGCTGGTGATAAACTCCTCTCCGCCGATTTATTAGTATTTTGATTAGGAGCGGCACCAGCTGGCTGAGCGTGTTCCGTGTGTGAAGCTGTTCCCTCTTCCAATTCCACATCCCTATCTGTTGGTTTGACCGGCTCTGGATCTCCAAACTTCACAATTGGCAATGTTTCCAACATTGCTCTCGCAAGCCCCTTTGCACGACTTTGTCTTGGTCTTCCAGCGTACCCCGTTCTAGGGCCATACCTCTCCGGGTGCCTGTGGGCGCGAACAGCTCCTGTTGCGATGATGATCAAGAAAAGAAGAGTTATGATGCCGGTAATACTATAAAGAATGCTCATAGCCACTGCAGTCGTTGGTGCGGGCCCACCATCATTGCTTGTGGATGAAGGAGTTCCCCCGGATGTTGTATTGCCCCCAATGGTGGCCGTGAGAATATCGGTGGCGGCCGGATACAAATCGATTTTGTTTAGGATATCTTGTGTATCCCGCTGGCTTGTCATTGTGTAGATGGTGTAGTAACCGAAACTTCCATTCAATATGCAAGCATTGGCAAGAGTACTGTATAGAATGATTCCCTTCGGACGAACATTACTGGCTCGCGCCACCACATTACTGGCACTCAGATTCGAATCGGTTGGATCGCAGCTGACAAAAGCCAGGTCGGTCGCATTTAAACTATCCGCATTCCGGGTGTCGGCCTTTTTGAGGGTTCCTTGAAAGCCAATTGCCTGAGACCACTCATTTAGTTTTCTTCACAGCCTTTGGATTAGAGAGATGAAGCCTTCACGAACCTTTAACGCCGTATCACTCTGCCCTCTTCCTGCCTCGCTGGTGAGGGGTGCGATGGCGTAGGGCATGGAATTCGAGAACAACGGTCCGCCTTCCAACCTCAGGGTAATTATCGAATTTCGCACGTCCGGTGGTAAGGAGGAATTGGTGGGTGATACCGAGGGATCCTGCGCCCGTACCGCGGCCGCCAACAGATTTACCATGCACACATATCTCGCCATGTTGCGTGCAGCGGTCGACGTTGCCATCGTGGAGTTGTGGCGGATATGGGAGAAGAGGGAGGAAATGGGAGTGGGAGTGGGGGAGGCGAGTAGGCGGGATCGAAAGCAGTGGTTCACATATCCTACGACGATGAATGGTGTATAAGGAGGGATTTCGGGAGACGGTCAGTTCGTGATGCAGTCCGGCAGTGCAGATGCAGGTGTAGGTGTAGGTGTATTGTAGGTGTAGATGGAGATCTGGTGGTGGTGAACGTACGGAACGGCAGTGGGAATGGGTGTGGGTGTGGATGTGGAGGAGGAGGGGGGTGAGTGTGAAACTCGAATCTTCTCAGGATGGTGTTTGGGTCGAGAGGATACCAGTAAGGTTAAGTATGGAGTACAGGGAACGCCCGGAGTTGGTCGCACGAGGATAGCGATCGGATACAGGGGATACAAGGAATACAGGGGGACAGGCGAGTATGCACTGAGCAGAGGGTGGAAGGCGATGAAGGGGGTGACGATCGGAAAGAAGAAGAAGGCTGAGTTGTGGTTGCTAGCGCGCTTTCTCCTTCTTCGTAGCGCCTACAGTAGATGAGTCTAGCCTACGTAAATTTATACGCGTTAGTGGCTGTCATCACCAATGGCACCCATTGATGCCCATTGGTGTGTGCTTTCGAATCCACTCGGGTCCCACTTCACCCTCAGAGGCGGTTCCACCTGGGTTCCACTATCCGACAACAAGAACTTCCAAGGTTCCAAGACAAGCGGAAACACTGGTTACCGCCCTAAGAAGGTTGCGAAGTCTCTACGGAGTATGTTGAAAAATACACCGACATCATAGGGGGGGCTTGGGAATTGACTCTAACGGTGAACTTGAACACCTTTCGCTTATCCACTGTTGTCGCTTCACAATAACAATGTCTGCCAGCGGCACTAACCGGTGACGTAGACCTCAATTGGAAATACATTCACTCAACTGGAAGACTCGGCATTAGTACTGTACTGTGCTGTACTTTGCTCATAGCCCATAGCTCATCCCCAGTTGCAGATCATGGGGAAAGAAGTTTCTACCACAGCACAGTTCATGCCACATTGTCACCATCGCAATGGCACAGACACCGAGAAGGCATGAAAGAAACAGGGATCCTGTAGGGCTTAATGTTCCAGCGCATCCCAAAAATAGCGACTACTTCTACTTCGAGGCACTCACTCGTCCATGTTCCGTGTTTGCATAGATACCAGTACAATACAAAGACAGAGCGGTAAATCTACGCACAGAAGCGTTGATCTCGTCGAAGGAAAAGGAGGTGAAATAAAACTTCGGATTGAAAACGTCAACTCTGCATCTGTGAATCCGTACCAGTACTGTAGATACAGTACTGTACCGAGATTGTAGGGTTTAGTACCCCGGATTTTCTACCCAAAGGTAGGGTACTGGTAGTGAGGGACATTACTCTTGTTTGGGAAGTTGTTTGAAGGGCCTCCCCCTTGTCGCATCTGCGATCGACGTCGACATAAAACTCTCCGAGCTACGGCGGTAGAAACAGAAAACCATCATGACCAGCTCACTTTTGTTTCCAGTGGAGAATAGCTGGCTAACACTCCACTCTTCTCGATTACTTTTCAATATCACCATGTACAAGTATCGACCAGAACTCTACATTCTGGGGAACATCGTACCGTACCCCAGGAACCAGGAACCACCCCCGAGCGACCCGAAACTCTACGCAGACGTTTTACTAATTGCGGTCCTCAGCTTCGTACTCGAGTACTTCCCCTCGTAATCTCACTCTACCCCTCATCACGTGTCCCATCTCCCGACTCACCTCCCCTGCAACAAAGTTCTACAAGAACACAGCACAAGCTCAACCTGCTACAAAAAAAAGCCACTCCCGGAGAATTTTCCCGTTTCGCGAACAAGAGAACCAAAGAGCGTAAATTCAATTTCAAGTGATCGCCTCCTCTTCCCATTATTACCATCCTCTCTCCATCCAGCCCAAAGCAGAAAACGAGAAACTCGGAAAGAGAAATAGATCAACAAGAAAAAAAAAACTCAAATCAATCATCACCTGTCTTCGCCTCCCACATACATCCTTACCAACCACCCCTCCCCCTCACTCTCCTCTAAGAAGAACACACACACCATCTCCAAAGGAAAGAAGAAGAAAAAAGCTTGTCATCTTAGTAAAAGTGCACAGCCTCCTCCATGCGTTCCTCCCACTTCTTCTTTCGTATCGACAAGCTAATGATTTGTATCCAACATGTCATTCACGGTGATCACTGGTCGTGGTGTGACGCGGAGTTATCGGATTCGGCTTCTTCGGATATCACATACTACTGTACTGTACTGTACCCACGGCGTACCGGTGAGGTGAGAAAGGTAATTTGATAGGGCTGTCAATATTGGAATTTGGATTGGTGTACAAACACCACTCCCGTTCTTGTGGGAGACGACACAGTACTTGGTACGAGTACTCAGCCTCCCTTTCCATCCATTTTTGTCTGGGCAACGCGCCTTGGTATGGTGTTCTGGGCACCTCCTGCCTCTGGGTCTTGTGTTCAGAATGTGGAAGAGGGGGTACACCGGTACAGTAGAACAGCTGGAGGGTTAACAGACATAGTAGGCTAGAGAAACCTTCTTGTTATACGAGTGAGATTTGACATAGCACGTGTGGTTTAGTGTTTTTGTCAGGAGGGTGTGGGTGTGTAGAGGCGCAGCCGCGCTGTAAACGAACTTGGTTTCTACGTTCATCTAGAAGGGTTACTAAAAGTGGGATGGTTGATTTGCGGAATGTGATGTTGAAAAGGTTTGGGGTATGAGGTGGATGATAGATCGAGGAAGCGTTCTGAATCAGTATATACGTACTAAGTTTAGTGTTTTTGTCAGTAGGGTTCGTAGAGGTGTAGTAGGTGAACTTAGTTTCTAAGTTCATCTAGGAGGTTTACTGAAAGTAGGATGGTTAATTTACGGAATATGATACTAAAATTTAGGGTAGCGAGGTGAATAATGGATCGAGGAAGCGTTCTGAATCAGTATATACGTACTAAGTTTAGTGTTTTTGTTAGGAGGGTTCGTAGAGGTGTAGTAGGTGAACTTAGTTTCTAAGTTCATCTAGGAGGGTTACTGAAAGTAGGATGGTTAATTTACGGAATAGAATGCTGAAAAGGTTTGGGGTGATGAATCTATAAAGCGTTATTCGAATCAGCATGTAAGTACTGAGATACACACCTCATTCCTCTATATGTGGAAAAATTGCTTTTCTTCTTGTAAACAATCAGATATTTTGGACTTTTAGACATGATTGGGTTTAACCGAGTATATATAACCGATTTTGGCCATGAGTCATTAATTCCTATAATATTACAACATATTACAACAAGAGACCACGTAAAGGGTCCAAAAGATCCTCTACTTCACAACTATAATCAACTATAGAATAGCCCTTAAATTTGAAAAGGTTATAGAGTTGATTCGATACTTTTTGTGCTTTTTAATGAATCCCTTTCCTCCATCTCTACCTCTACCTCTCATCTTGAGGTTCTCCGGAATTCTACACTGCTTCCTAACAAAGTTACAAAGTAACTTACTTCGAACAAATACAACGGCTTAAGAGATTTTCAAATATAAAAGGTATCTTTTCCAGAGTATAAACTGACGAGAAAAACGTGCACGGAAAAGCGGAGTCAAAGTGGAGTCAAGGTGTCCACTTTGCAAGTACTTTATCCATATAAACCTACCTTCTAAGCATTTGAGCCTCAATTTGACCCATTTATCTCACCCACTAGCATCCACTATTATCCACTTTGAGTGCACGATTGCACTCGTCAGTTTATACTCTGGAAGGGATAGTAGAACCCTAGATAACTACTCTACCATTAAAAGACTGAAAGATTTTGAGGAGATGTGTTTATGTAAGATGTAAGATAACATACAGTAAGATTGTATGCTTTGGCATTTTTTGTGAGTGATGTCTTGATAGAAGAGGTGAGGAGTCTAACTTCCTGAAGATGACCGGGGTTATTGTAAAAGGGGCGGATAAGAAAGGTGGAGTTCTGATATCTTGGTTTTTATGGTGAAGCGGGGGTTCGTTTTGTTTTGGTGTTTTTGTGGGTGAAAATATTTGCTACAGGTTTTATATTAGAGCGACTTGTAGTTTGAAATACTGTATTACAAAATTGGGATATCTAGCCGCTTCTTGGGCTATAAATAATTTAGCTAAAAAGGATTATAATACAGATAGCTTATATACTCATACACCCGTCCTCTTTCTCGTCAAACTTCAAATCCTGTATATAAAATTTTGACAGCGTCCAACAGACCCGGCGGAAATTCATGATATAAAACTTTGCCAGGTGATAATAGACAAGCATATCATATATGGAATAGTGTCATATCCCAGGATTCGAAAAGTAAGTACCATGTATTGGTCGTCGGAATAGTAGCTATAGAGAAGACTTGGATAATCGACTATAAGCTGCGCCAGGTTACTCTACCACTTTCCACCTAGGAAGCAATGGAATGTAATCCATACGATGTAACACGGTATTAGCATATGTTGGAAGGAAGGTTATTGATTACTGTTCCACTTCTTCCATTTTCTTTTTGTTTTATAGCGAATTGTTGGATGCTTTGGTGGCTGGTTGTGTTTTGCGGGGAGTGAGAATCGAAATGGTAAATCTGAGGAGTTGGAAATATTTAGATGAGTCTGTGATTAAGTAGTTAAGCGAATGTCTCTGAGATTGGTTTTAGAATACTAGTAGAATGGGTTAATATAGCCTTGTAATGATTTAGCGTGATTCCTTTAGTACTATACTGTAGGTCCAAGATCTTAATAAACAAGGTTTTACTAATTAATCGCCACATAGGTGTGAGAGACTGCAGTAAGTAGGATTCTAATAACTGACCTCATATAGAGCGAATTAGAGTACTTTAATTAGTAAGTAAGCTAGTATCTCTAGAGAAATATCCATCTCGCATTATAAATAATCTATCTAGTATTCTGCCCTAACAATCTACTTTGTAATAATACCGAAAGCGAACTCCATTAATTCTAGATTCAACATACATGAAGGGAGATATATCGCCTCCGTATTCCTTGTCCCGTGAGGGATATCTTATGGCGAGTTAAGTGGTTTTAGCTATTTGAAAATTACATTTAGTATTATATATGACTTTGATGTAAGTGAAGAGGAACTTCTATTCGAGAATGTCTTTATGCGAAGTCGAAGGAGTGCTTTACTAAGATTAATAAAGTTGCCTGGGAAATCCTCTTAGATCTTTGTATGAAAACGACGTTTGAAAATTAGGCGCTCGCTTAATACGAAAGTATCTCGCTAATAAGGGACAAGCGCCAAGACTGTTACGACATGTCGGTCTTAGCCGAGACTCCTTTCTTAGCTGCCTAACCTGTCTTAGTTGCCTTGGTTAATAGCGGCTTCTACTCTATTAGGATCGTCTTATACGACTCCCTCCTTGCCCCCTAGCTAGCTTTACTCCTGATTCCACTATTTATAGCGTTTTAGCTAGTATTACTTTGTCGAATATAAGAATAGTATAGAAGTCTCCTTAATTTAAACAGTATATCAATTTAATTATAGCGACGAGTCTACATTTAAGAAAAGTTAAGAAATAAGTAGAGTTTTAGAAGTATAAGGGTACGGTACCTAATGCTACAAACCTAAGTAATCTAAGCTACTAATACATTCCTTCCAGAGTATCGAGTAGTAAAGGTAAGTAGCCACTCGAAGTACATGTGTATTAAATAGGCCATATTAAGACTTAAACTGCCTTGGAAACAGAGTCTGGTTGGCCAAAGGACTTTTATCCACGAGACAGATGTTTAGAAAAGTGGGCGCCTTTGCTGAGCCTGGAAGTTCAATTTTTTATATTGCTCGATACTCGCGTGGGGATAGGAGAGAAAGGAGAATAACACAGGGTTACGAGACTATTGTTTAAACTTAGATGGACTTGAGGTGTGAGATGGTCATGGCTATTCAAGAAAGGGGGGATTATGTAGGGGAAGTCTCGTAGGGGCGGAGTGATATGGGGCTAGGGAATATATCGCGAAGACGCTTCTAGTTCATAAGCAATGTTACAAAATTTTCGGGTTCTTGGAAGGGAGAGGTAAATGAATTCACTTCTTCTGAACATCAATTTTTAGTCAGATTCTGTGGATTTGTAACCTCCAATTCTCTGTTTTCAATCCGGATCTTTCACTTATACATCGTAAGATAACATGAACGCCTACAGAATAGCTGTTGCCTTCCTACGAGACTCACCCTCCATCTAGTGACATCAGACCGGAGGATGTATTCCTCATATTTCACGATAGCAACAACGGGCAGGACCACCACAAAAGACTTGTAGCAGACTATTCGAAATACTGCATTTGCAAACACAAAATTATCCATTTCTAACAGCTTTTCTTCTCTTGGGCCCGTCGGAATTAATCTGGTTATTCACTCATACGGATTATTAACAATATTATCCCAAACACCGACGTTGGAAATCTAGTTTCATCAAGGTGTCCTAATTCGGTCGGGTAAACCTTCGCGCTGTATTCTAATTACATCGATGACTGGGTGGTTAAGTTCTACATTCTTTAGTTCTTTGTCTCAATGCTCGCCCTTTTTCAATAAAGCGTTGATTTTGAGGATCACTTGTGACTTCAACAACCAAGAGATCTTCAGATAATTTTATGCCTTATTACAAGGGTGTTGGGTGTGTTTTGCGTGCCTCGCCACCTTCAGGATTCTTCTTGGATACGTATAAAATCCAGTGTATGTATGGATCAGTTGATTCCTGAGCAAAAAAAGAGGGGATGGCATTATCTTCTTAGTAAGTCTAAACAAGCTCTCTAGAATTACAAATGAATAAAAGTACAGTTTAAATAGAAGTAGCTTAATTGTCAAGCACATTAGAGTTAGTGTTCAGAGATATGGAAAAGTGGCAAAGATGCTAGCATACCTGCATACCATGCCTTGTTCTGCGATATCCTCACTTTAGAATACGAAGGTATGCTCCTTTAATATAAATGTGTTAAGATAAATAGCTACTTCGATTACTGTCCTCTCTTTATTTAGCATAACCTTTATCTCATTATTAAAGAAATACCTCGTGATAGTTGCACACCACTAGCGACGTAAACACGGGGCCCGGCTCATTCTATTGTCTCTGCGAGTAAGTTGTTTAACCAGATAGATGAGTACCTTTTACGAAGCCAATTTTACAAGTTTTCACTCATTATTATTCAGAATCTCTGATTGTATCTGATTACTCGAGACGCTTTTACATTATCTTCATGTTTGCATCTGTTTTTCTGTAGAGAAATCGTGAAATAAGTGGTGAGTTGTTTGGATCAGGGAAAACCCAAAACACCGTTAGGATTTCCTTTTGGATCAAGATAGTTGTTAGGTGACAAAAAGAGGCCGAGGGTAAGTTGAAATGTGAATTAAAAATAATGGTGTTATTTACGTGTGTATATACCACGAACGACGGAGGGTTTATAAATAACACATTTGCAAGATAAAGAATTCACATAACCTAACATATAGTTACACGTTATAATCCACACTCCATTTCCAAAACCTCTTATGTCCCTTAGAAAAAAAGAGAACAATTGTCCACACTTAGCTGCCCGTGTTCTCGTGACTCCTTTCCTAGTTCAGCATTTCCACTCTACTTAGTTGTAGTTTTGTATCCCTCTTTTAAACACTTATACTGGCCACTCTTATCATCCTGCTCACAAACCCTCGAAGTCCTACTAAAATCTCCTCAACCATCCCTACAACTTGGGCATGATTAGGGTGAAAAAGTACCCCAGGCGTTTTTATAACAAGATATTGTAAAAGGGAAGTTCGGGGGATCCTCTTGGCAGTCCACTAATTTGACCTGCTACTACTTTGGTTTTTCTTATAGCAACGAGAATTAGAGAGGAATTTACCTTGTTATCGCATGCAAAGTAACAATTATCCCTGTAACCCTTACTGATACAAGTAGCAGTAGTGACAACTACACACCTGCCTAGCTTAATGCGCCGGACAAGAGTAGCTATAAGACCAGGAGAGATTAATATAAGAGATTAATATAAGTATAAGAAGATTATTAAAGAACTTTATATTACACGTTTTAATAGTAAAATGGTTTAGGAAGACTTGTAGAGAATTTGTAAGTTTAAATTAAAGTATTCCTTTATCGGTATATATATACGTCTTAGATTTTAAGTTTACGGTTTCTACTTTAAGTCTTAGTACTTAATAATACTATTACTTAATTTGTGAGGGTTGGAACCCATGATGGAGGCTCGGGCCATGCCCTCGCTAAGCACTGACCAAAGTCCCCGCTCAGCATTGGCCATTGCTAAACTGCTAAATTGGTTTCTCCTTTTCTACACTTTTCTACTCTATTCTTTTGACGTCACGTATTTGTCAAACAGTTTCTTGGAAGACTCCGGAAACTCTTCCTCTCTCTATATATAGAGGAAGAGATTGCATGTATGTAGTCTTCACGCACTTCTTAATTGAATATTCGAAACCACACCTTTGAGCTATTCGAGGTCTGGCCTCTCACAATGTGTGAGGAAGTGATCGCCTTGCGCTTAATGAGACCTTAACGAGATCTATAGCACACTTCTCAATCTCCTCTTCCTTTGCCATGATGGTATCCTTAGCGTACGGCGCAGGGGATCCATCGGCCTGTTGGTCTCAGATAGTATAAAGGAATGTATAATATAGCCGTTAAGATTAACAATTCGAACCAATAGAGCATAAAACATATTCGTCATAGGTATAGCAGCTATGCCTGGGCCGGAGTTGCTAGATGTTCCGCGGGAGTAATAGATACCTCCGCAATTATAACGTACTTCCACGCACCTTGGAGTAGATACCCCGTAGAAGACACCTAACAAACTAGGTAATACTTGCGGGGTATTCCTTGACTCTATGAAAGTATTGCCTTTTACTAGAGCGATTGAGTCGAATCAGTTGTACTCTTCCGTACTTGCCAAATCTATAAGAGGACAACTACATCCCTCAGTAACGCTCAACACTTTTCTTCAATTACTTCATTTTGAACGCCCAAATTCTCTACAACTTTTCTCCAACCATCTTCTCATCACACACACCTACAATATGAAATTCCTCAATTGTCTTCTCGCACTTGCGTTCGTCTCTTCCGGTATAGCAGGCACCTGTTATATCGACAATGTTTTTAGTTGTTACAATTACAACTACAACCAGGCTTGCAGCATTAAATGCGGTGGCAATGGGATATATCTCTCTGTTTGTCTTTTGCTATCAGAATAACTAACACAACCATAGTTTGCATCATCGGACTGCAAATTTAATGACAAGGGAACCGCTCAAGCATTTTGTTGCTGTTAAAAGTGCTCGGCAAGAAGTCACTAATAGATGGCTTGCTAAGGGTGGACATTTGATTTGATTTTGGGGGTGGGGAATTGGGCCGCCAACAGGTTTTAGGGGACGAAGAGCGGGGTATGTAGGGCAGGGGTTTATGTGGTTATTTACGATGCAGTTTTATAGAGAGAAAAGTCTTGAGAGGGTATGAGGATTAGGGCCGATTACAATGTGCAATCAGATTGGTTTTAGTGTATTTCCATCATGAAATCCATGCATTTGCAAGATTGCGTCCCCTTACTCAAATACCCTCATGTGTCGTCATTAAATCTGCCGTTTATACATTCGTATGTAATAACCCTCCCAGCCGTGCCAGACCCCCGCGGGCCCCTTCTCACCTTTTCCTATTCAATCCCATCACTCCCCATTCATTCTGGAATAGCCTCGCAGCTGTCAACCTTCCCATCCCCACCCGTCAAATCACTTCTTCAAAAATCCACTCTCCCTCCAAACCCTAACATTTCGCTCTATCCACTCCCCACAGAAAGGCCCACACTCCCTCAACGCCTTGCTAATACCCCTCGTTTTCTCCGTTTCGAACATCAACACCTTTCCTTTCTGATCTCTGTCATCCCCAGCGCCCCCTTCGTTCGTGTCTGTTGCCGAATCTTCAGCAGCAGCCATTTCCTCAAAGAACCTCAAAAGCCTCAATCCATGTATTTCCTCTGCGAAGGGCGAATCGGCCATCATAGAGAGTTTTTGCACCCACTCTTTCATCGGTACACGTTGGAGCGAGGTGTGCGTTGCGGTGTCGAGGTAGGAGAGGACGGTTCGCCAAGGAACAGGATAGGGGTTTACTATGTTGTGGGCGTTGTACGTCATTGAGATATTTTTCTCAGGGCTTGGGACTGTGCTCGGGCTGGTGGATGTGGGAGTTGTGAGGGAAGAAGAGGGAGATAATAAAATATCAGAGATAGTAGCAGCTGCAATATCGACGGGTATCCAGTCTACGAGTTTCGATGGGAAGGAGGGGATGCAGTTTATTAATGGATGGAGGGAGGTTGAAAAGATGATCTTTTTTCTGTTAACTTGCTTTCATGTGTCTCTGCGTTTGGGCAGATAGGGGGAGCTTACAGGCCACATTTCGTCGACGTTCCAACATCCTGTGTGGGTCGAGCCTGCTAGTTGCCCTACGCGAAGGAGGTGGATAGGAAGTCTAAGAGTTTTGGCTGCAGTTTGGGTTATTCTTTCAACTGTTTTGCGATGTCAGGGTGTGCAAGTCGAAATTTGAGAGGGATATAATGGCTAAGATGAGAAGCTATGAGGTAACGGATACTTACCGATATATTTACTTTGTGCGTACCCAGTAGAAAGAGCAACCGTGGGATCAGGACCAATTGGAGCCTCCGGTACAGTCGAAGCGATATGTCCTGGTCCCATACACGTACTTATACTACTCGTAAAAGCGAGACGTTTCGGACGACCAGCTTGGCAGAAACGAAGGAGTGACATGGTGTCTGGTTACATTGTTAGATAGCCCTTAAAAGAAAACTAAAATTTGACAACTTACTTCTCAAACAATCCCCTTCAAATTCCTCAACTCCTAAGTTGAAATCCATCTTCCATGCGTTCTGGACCACAACGGTGACGCTGTTCGCCAACTCCGAGTACTTCTCCAAATCCAAGCCCAGCAATGGATCTTGCATGCTGAAATTTACCACTTCAACTTTACTCCCTTTTTCGAGGATACTTAAATCCATTCCACGACATCCTAGCGCCTTTTCGAGTTTGGCGAAGTGATTTGGACCTCTGACCATGGCGTAGACTTTTTCAACTTGGGATGACCCAGAGAGTGTTGCAAGAAGGGCGGTGCCCAAAGATCCTGAAGACCCTGTCAAGAGAATAGTCTCTTTTGCTGGGGCTGGGAAGGTCATAGTTGCTCTTGAAGGCCAGGATCCGAATTCAGATTCCAGTTTTGACATTATGCGATGAACTGTTTCTATGGATGAAACTTGCTCAGACGGCGGTGGAGTAATTGAGCGCGATGATGGCTGAGTGAAATACGCAGTTAATTTGCTGATTGAAGGGTTTTCGAAGATTGTGCTCAGTGAAATTGGACGATTAAATTGCGATGTTAAAGTGGCTTTTAGTGAGAGTGCAAGACGTGAATTCACGCCCAAATCGTACAAGGTGGTCCAGTCATGGATATCGGCGGCATGAGTATTGGAAATAGATGCGAGGATGTTACGGATATATTCTCCTACAGCTTCATGAGAAAATCCACTTGAGCTAGTTCTTGGAGTGGGAGGAGACGTGTATTCGGAGTAAAATTGGTCCACATATTTTGCGTAAAGATTCATGACTTCCTTCCGTTTGACGTTCCCCTTTGGTGTAACAGGTAGTTTCTCCCCCTTAGGTAATAGTCGAACCATAGATTCCATAATTTGAGAATGGCCAGGATACTTGGGGTTGATGGCTCGTACAGTATTCCATACCTCGGCTCTAATATCGTCGCTCTCTGGGTCGTACTTTTCATGTAATTCTACCAAAAGACTGACGCAAGGTTTCGAATGACCTAAAGCCAACACCGTATTTATGTACTTCGAAGATGTCTGAATATCTAGTTGAAGTGGGCCGGCACTTGTGTTCTCCCCATTTGAGTGGACAAGAATATCGTCCTTTCTACCAATGAGAACGAAGAAGCCGCTTCCAGGGGGGTCTTGGATAAAAAGATCATTGGTCCGGTAAGGCTCGTTTGTGTTTTGCCATAGCTCTGCAGCTAATTCAAACCCTTTATGAACGACACATTCGTAGGAACCTTCTGCAACCTCCTGCATCTCTAGAAGAGGATTATCTGGGAACAAATTTCGAAAAGAGTAGCACTTGGGGTTATTTCTAGTATGGGGTATTGAGCGAAATGGGGGGCCGATTTCCGTACTACCATAGGTAGTTTTGACATTGACTCCATTGGCTGTAAGTGCTGTGACTATGCGTTCTGAAAGAGCAGCGCCACCAGGTTGAAGTACTTTCAAAGAAGCCAAGGGGGAAAAGTCGCCTCCATTCTCTTTTATAAACTCGTACATGTTCTCAATTATTGTAGGAGCACAATGAGTCAAGTCCACAGGATTTCCCATTGAAGAAAGTGTCTCCCAAGCAGCAAATATACCTGAACTCGATGGCGGCCATACTAAAGGCGGAAAAGACAGTATCTGCCCATTCGGTAAACCAGACAATGCAATTGAAATTCCTGCGATATGATACCTGCGCCTGTTAATAATTTTCTGTGCTTGGGAATAGGTAAACTTACAATGGAAAAAGAAGAAACCAATTCTCAGCGCTAAACTCTTGAAATAATCGATACATTCTCGCAATCAACATCATACTTCTATTTGTGTGGATTACCGGTTTTGGCATTCCAGTCGAACCTGAAGAGTGGATAATGAACGTGTGTCTTTCCCAAATATCTCCAAAATCTTGAAACTTGACAGCGTCCAGATCTTCATAATTGACGTCAAAGCTCTGAGGAAGCACCTCGACCATGTCAATCTTCTCGAGATCGTTTGTATTAACTTTGGAATTTTTCGAATCGGTTATGACAGCCACGGCACTGCACGCTTCCAATAAATGGTGTAATGCATCCTTGGCATTAGATTCAGCGAGAAGTAGAACTCTAACACCAAGTTTCTGAAGAGCCAACTCTGTGCAGAAATACTCTAAGGTTGTTCCAGTTCCCAGCAGTGCTACAGTCGGCTGCACCCTTATCAAATTGGAATTTTCGAGTTCATCCCGAAGGCGTTCTGCATAAAATAGTGCAAGTGTCTCGGTGATCCGGTCGAATGCATCCCATGTCATAGATTCATATGTTGTATTCGAGTCTGTCAAAACAGGATATAAGAATGCTTTCTTTCCCTTGAAAACGGTTCCATCATGCCGTACCAATGCTCCAAGACTGACCAACTTTGCATTAGAATATCGCCTTGAGTGGGGGTGGCCATGCAGCCACCATAAGTCCTTAATTCTCTGCGATGTATATCCAGGTGGCACAACGGTAGAATCCGAGCAAACGTGAAGTAATTTTGATGATGTACTGTCCACATCCAGTGAGTCTAACATCATTGGTGCCATTCTGAATGCTTGGTATGAGACGTGGGATGGCGAAAGTGAGATGTCGGATATGTACCTGTCAGTACTTCAAAATGGCAGCCAACTTTGTTAAACGTGGCATCGACATTTAAAAAGAAGTATCAACCTTCTGAAAAGAAGACTTGCTATAATTGCAAAACCTTGTAATCATTCAGGTATCTCTTAGTTCACCTGGGCACTCCACCATTAGTAGGCCCACTTGCAGAGTCGGTAAATGGACGACGCCACATGCTATTCCACCCCAAACAGTAGGGATCCATCAATTACTGAACCCAGATACAATCAGCTCACGGCCTATCCCATCCCCCACCAAATAGCGGGCTTCGGCTGACCGAAGTCTTCATGAACTTGGTATTGGTCGATAGCGGGCGATTGGAGGGTTAACAAGCTGTTTTTGCTGTCGTCCTACCCAAAACGTGATAGAAAGGGGCACGATAAGAGCTGGGGCCAGGTGCAGCAAGCAATGTTTGCCTCGGAAGAAATAAAGAGGGGAAAACCAAACTCCATGACGGCGTGACATGGTATGGCCGACGATCCACTGTGGATAGTGATATCGACGACATCACGGTGGCTTTTATTGACAATTTCAACGACCTGCCAGTGGTCCCGACGGACGCCTTTCTCCGGCCTCATGGACGCCGAGACGGGCGGCTCTCTAGGCGTTTGCGGCCATGCCAAATCATTGCCAGTTTATACGAGCTATTGAACACCATTGCAAACTCTCGTACCCATAGCGCGTGATTCCGTCACTTTGTTACCAGTTAAGAAGTGGTGGCGGAAGGGATGGGCGTGGCTTAGGTTGACGGCCGTTGTGGAGGTGGGTGTGGATTTTCAAAGGCGCATTATGACAAGCGAGTCGCTCCTATCAACAACCACTTCGACATCGTATAGTACAGTATCAACCATACGGCATTTTTCCCGAGCGAAGCACAACAGCAGCAAGCCACTACTGGCAGCCAGATGTGGCACGAACCAGAAGAGTAAAGCAATGTTTCCCATTCGAGTACTTGACGACGATCAAAAGGTTGAAGGGTGTGCAGCTCTCCCTTGTCTGCTTGCTGCTTTACTCTGCCATTAGGTTCTCTTTGAACTTCATAGAGTACAACGTCGCCCCGGCTCATCATGATGCACGGCAGCCAAAAATGCTTGGGGCTTCTTGCCGTTCTTCTGATCACCATGAATGGCCGAGCAGGAAGATCTCTCCGCTTGGCATCTTGCAGAACCGTACTTTTGGGAATTGTAGACTTCGGCCCGTCTGGGAATCGGGGGATCACTTTGTATTGATTGCGGCCAAGACCCGGCCAACAGAAGCGCTTGTCACGGAAGTGGGATATCAAGTGGAATCTCGCTGCAGACCTTCCGGGGTACGTACCTGGCCCCTGCTGGGAACTGAAGATGAAAGATAGCAACATCGATATTGATATCTCGATATCTTGATTACGATGTTGATAATAATCTGTCTCAATCATCCTGATGGATCTGAAAGATGTTCTAGTGCTGAAATGCCTGGAGATTATTTCAAACAGCATAAGTCAAATCTCTTCCTTTGCCGTTCGTTCGTTGTCTTTTATTGCAATAATCGTGAGGTCGTCACTCCTTTCAACGACCAATGACCAGTAATCATTGTGGGGCTTGATACTACGTAAAGTAAAAGATCCAACAGTGACCCAACATCCCTTATCTTTATCTTTTGAGCACGGACTGTTCTTGCTATTCGGTACGCCAGAGGAGGACGACAAACAGTTTCACAATTGCGAATAGCTGCAAGTCTGTCTGTCATTCACTGTTCATCACATATTCAACATGGCGCCAGCAACCATCGAGAAACTTCGGCTGTATTCCGAGCCGGGGGCATACTCGACCGGACCAAACGGAATTGCCTCTAACAGAGATCTCGACCCTGTTCCTTTCGAGTCTGATGAACGAAAATGGACTTGGCCTTCTCTATTGGGATTCTGGGTTGCGGAGGCATTCAGTATATCCATGTATCAGGTTGCCTCTTCTTCCGTAAGTAAAGGTTTAAGTCCAGGTTTGGCCATTCTGGCAGTCATTGTGGGTCATTTGCTAGTATGCATACCGGCTATGGCCAATGGATATGTTGGATGTATCTATGGAGTCAATTTCCCGGTATTGATGAGATCTACTTTTGGTGTATATGGCGCATACTTTGCTGTTTTTGTTCGAGGTGTTGTGGCTTGTATTTGTAAGTCCTAATGTTGTTATTATTGAGTGCAACCATACTTACAAATTGAAGGGTTTGGAACTCAAAGTTTTCAAGGTGGCCAATGTATTGCTTCAATGATCGAGGCCATTTGGCCATCTTTCAAAAAGTTCCCTAATCATATACCAGCATCCGCACATGTCACTTCAGCTCAGATGTTAACATTCTTCTTGTTTATTATCGTTCAATTGCCGCTTCTATATCTCCATGTCTCGAAATTACGATATCTTTTCATGGCTAAGACTATCGTAATGCCGATATTCGGTCTTACCCTCTTCATTTGGGCTCTTGTTGCTGGTAAGTCTTGATAATGTAGAAACATTAGCACAGCACTGACGATATGCAGCGAAAGGGTTTGGCCCTACTTTTAGCAAAGGAACGAATATCCTAGATGGAACTCCTGTTGCAGTTGTATTCTTTCAATGTGTCACAACCACGATAGGGCCGAAGGCGACACTTGCCCTCAACATGCCGGATTTTACACGGTATGCTAAGTATCCGAAACAAGTCTTTTGGACACAGGCCGTTGGACTTTGTGTTCTCGTAACACTTTGTGGGATTTTAGGTATCACAGTCACCAGTGCTACACAAGAGGTATACGGAGTATTGACCTGGAACCCCCTTCAAGTCTCCGCATTGTGGAACAATCGTGCTGCACAATTCTTCTCTAGTCTCTGCTGGATGTTTGCAGTCATCGGTACCAATATCTCCGCAAACTCAGTCTCTTTTTCTAACGATCTCTCACTTTGGTTCCCATCTTGGGTCAATGCTAGACGAGGAGCTTATATCTGTTGTATCATCTCTGTCGCCGCCACACCTTGGAATATCCAATATTCCGCCGCATCTTTCAGTGCTTTCCTCGGCGGATATGCTATGTTCCTTGGTCCCATCGCTGGCATCATGATGGCTGACTTCTGCATTCTTCGAAATCGCCATTTAAACCTGTCGAGTTTGTATCGCCACCCAGATATCTATTCTTTTTTCCACGGCCTTAATATACGCGCATTTGCTGCCTTCATCCTGGGCGTTGCACCTAATCTTCCCGGCCTTGCGAAAGCTACAGGCCAGAAGAGTGTTCCAAAAGGTGCTATGTATGTGTATAGTTTGAGTTGGTTGGTAGGAACGATAGTTGCGTTTTTATTTTATATTGCTTTTGGGAAGATCTGGCCGATGGAAGATAACTTTGATAATGATGAAAGAGTGCTGGCTGGGATTGATGGGAATAGTATTGGCACTCCGAGCTATTCTGAGGAGAATAAGGTTGATGGCGAAAAGGGTATACATGATGTTTAGGGCGATTCTGAACGATTTTCTAAAGTTGTAGTCTGTTTATACTTTTTACTGAGAGAAATTTAATATCATGAAATGTATCTTGAAGCTGCGGGTTGGAGAGGAATCAACTGCAGTAACTTCAGCACACCCACTTCTCTGGCCTCGTGATGGATGATTGTAGTGAGTGGTTACTAGAAGCTCTAATAGCTGTAATAATTCTGAGTTGTCCCAAGACTTTTGGATATTTTCTTCTTATTATTCCAATTTAACAGGACAGCTAAGTGTACCACAACAAACATCTAGATCATATCGCTAGTAGTTCCACGTCTCTGTACAAGTAGTGCAACTCCGAAAGAGATAGTCACTCCATTTTACCGAAATAGGAATTACCCGCCTGAAGCGAGAATGACCTACAGGCTTCCGTGCCCACACAAGCCTGGGGAGCGGTTGCCTAGTTCTATGTAGAAGCATTCTCAATGTATGAACTAATACATTATTCAAATCATTGAATTTGTTTCAGAGAACATCGTGAAATAAATACTTTCAAACCACATCCAAGTGAGATATTCCTAATCAAACTTTACGACAAGTTTGAAGAAAGCTTTAGATAGATAAATAATTTAACTTATCATTAAATAGTCGCTTACGTATGAAGTTATCTCACCAGAGTTGTATTGCTACAGTATCATACTAATCAATCATTAGTGAACAGAATGTACTAGTAAAGATGTATTGTCCAGATTGCAGTGAATACGACGGGGGCTGGTGAGGTCCAGCACTGTACCGCTCCGGCCCGCTTTGGACACGAAGACACACTTCTGACTTGAATCTTCTGATTGCCAATTCTTCTGAGAACCCCGCGCGATAATTCAGAATTCTTCTTGGGTTTTGGAAAATCGCTTGAATTATTCCGACACGTCGGAATAACGAGAGCAAAGGTCTGTGCAGTACTGTCGTTTTAACCAGTAAGACTTACAGTACCCTCCGTGTCAGCCCACCCGTCAAATCAGGCTACAGCATAAATATGCTCGACGTCTTCACGTAAAGCAAAGTAGACTTACTCATTAACAAGAAACATCAACAACGAAGAAAATCTGAGCCTGATCATCTTTGCACAAGGACCTCACATTGTCCCTCACTGTATCGAAAGCAAGCTTGAGCAATATGGCCCCATCAGCGTCCGATCCGAAAGAGCTCAAGCTAGCACTGAACCCCGCTAGACAGCGTACGTTCACCCTCCTCGTCGGTAGTATCGTTGGTCAGATGCGGAGAAACATAGAATATACATTTGATCATTCTCCCAAAGACGCAGCTCCTCTCTTTGCAACCCCAGATCCTCCACGGGATAGATCCATATCACCAGTACGATCCTCCAATCCATCTAAGAAGGACGACAACAACGCTTAGAAGCCAAACTTGAACGTTCTCCTTCTACCCCAAAACTTCAGGCTTTGAAGCGGGATCTTCTAAGGTATTTCGACAAATGGGCAAACGAGGTACGAGTTGAGCTACGGAGAATCACCGATAGTCCTGAAGATCCACGATCGGAGCAAAGGAGAAGAGAATGGTTGCAGACAAGAAATGTACCACCTCCAGCTTACACATCCACTGATACTGTACTTCAATCAGCGGAGCGATCTGCTGCTGCCCAAGCAACTGAAGCACGGGAAACCGATGAAGCAAAAGATGTCTCCATGTTACACAGCCTCTACCCACCCACTGCTACACGATTCACCACCATTTCGGAAGAAGACAGGATTTGTGTTATTAGTTGCATGGTATTACTTTTGTTGAGCTTAGGACACTACTCGGCCTATTCAAGAACATTACTTTGTTTTATTACTTCTTCCTTCAATCTTCCAATGGCTATTCTCACTAATGAGGAGAATGAGATATCGAAGACCCTCTTACTGGCATCAAAAACACTCACGGCAGATGCCGAGACTCAGAAACGACAAGCTGAAAATGCCTTCTCTCGTCGTTGGACAGTTGAATTGGCTTCTCTTCGTGGTGCAGCATTTATTGGGATCACAGGCGGCTCAGCTGCTCCAGTAGTTGCTGGTGCTATTGGTGGATTGATGGGAGGTGTCGGTTTGGGGGGCGTTGCTTGTTTCCTTGGCATATTTGCTATGAACGGAGCGTTGGTTGGAACACCTTTTGGTGCCTTTGGTGGAAAAATGACGGGTGAAATGGTGGATGCTTATGCCAAAGAAGTTCCGGATTTCAAATTCATCCCCATTGCGGAAGAATGGGGAGAGCACACAAGTCAACCTTTACCTCAAGAGGAGACTCGAAGACTTCGAGTCACGATCGGGATCAACGGGTGGCTCAACACTAAAGAAGATATCCTTAGACCTTGGCGAGTTTTGGGACGAGATAGCGAGACTTTTGCTTTGCGTTACGAAATCGACGCTCTCCTTGAACTGGGTAATTCATTGAAAGACATGGTTTCTTCATACGCATGGTCGTTTGTTAAAGTGGAAATCTTGAAACGAACTGTGCTTGCAACCTTATGGTCTGCGTTATGGCCTGTTTACCTCTTGAAAAAGGCCACGAGTCTCGACACACCATTTGCAGTAGCTAAACATCGTTCAGAGAAAGCTGGGGCAGTTCTAGCCGATGCGTTAATCAACAAGGCCCAAGGAGACAGACCCGTCACGCTGATCGGATACTCGCTTGGTGCCAGGATGATATACTCATGCCTTAAGTCCCTAGCCCAAAGCCGCGCATTCGGGCTTGTTGAAAATGTCATCCTAATCGGTTCACCAATACCTTCAAACTCGAATAATTGGAGAGAAATGAGAGCAGTTGTCTCGGGAAAGGTGGTTAATGTGTACAGTGAGAACGACTACATCCTTGCGTTCCTCTATCGGGCTACGTCTGTTCAGTATGGTGTGGCAGGTCTACAAGGAATTGAAGGCGTTGAAGGGATCGGAAATGAGGATTTAACGAAGGATGTTAGTGGGCATCTACGCTATCCGGAATTGGTGAGCAAAATATTGAAAAGGGTTGGCGTCGAACATGTCAATGTGGAAGACGAGACGATTGAAATGGATGCTGAAATCAAAGTGATTTGATAATGAGGATCTCATTGATTTCGGTGATGACTCTGGGATAGACTCAAACCCCAGCAATGCTGGCGGATTCACTATGAGGGATGATTCGCCAATTTGGCCTGGAAGCTCAACAGAAAAAACAACAGCTCAAACGTTTGGAGAGATGAAGTCACAGCCTACGAATGGTGCGGATTATTCTGGAGTCCTATTTGAACACTGTTCTAATACTGCTTATGCTTCCTCTTCTTTCGCGAGAGAGCCTATTTCAACATCGACACCTATCCCAACCCTCGTCTACTCTTTCCCAGAAACCAATCTTTCCACCCCGCCAAACCAAGAATTAAGGCCCTCCCAGCCATCTACTACGTCAGCACCCTCCAACATCCCTCTCTTCAACCCTCAAACTTCTCAAACTCGTCAATCTCAGCATGATATTGAAGAAGAGAATGGCTATTCGTCCTCCAACGACCGCGGCATTCAAATGGAAGACAAGGATGAGCCATTGGATATCCTTGATGCCGAGCCTATACCAGATGTTTATGAGTTTCAGGAACCGACACCGGTTGCTTCTTCAAGACCGACGAAGAACGTTTTGTTGAACGGTCATTATTGGGTTGAAAGGGTATTGGGTACTGAAGGGCATGGAGAATTGATTTTATTGTAAAAGGTAGCTATCTAAGGTGTTTATATAAAGAGTGTAAGGTTTAGGCAGACATGAAGCATTTAGGCAGCAGAACTATAAGTGGATCAAATAAGGAAGTGGAGCAAAAGAGAAAGTAGACCCAGCACAACAGTAATGATAGAGGGTTTCAAGAGCAGAAGGTTCTCAGAGGACATGAAGGTATATAATAAGGAGAGAAGGAACGTTAAGCGAGGGTAGAGGAAGCTGTTGATGATGCATTTTGATAGAAAAATAAGGCTGTGAAGGATGGTGTCAAAAGTGCTGCATGATAGAAATATCATCCCGTTTTATCATTATTTTGACTTTCCCAGATAATTCAGTTTGATTCTACAAATACGACTGATCTACATTGCCAGCCAACGTGTAGCTGAACCCGTCTTTATTTTGACCAGAACTTGATATAAAAATTTACAACTTCTCTTTCCATGTTCACATGAAGAAGACAGACACATTTCAGTATTTCAATATTTTTTTTGGAGCAGTTATAGATTATCTTTCAATGATGCTAGTCTGTCCCTTTTCAATAGCCTTCCCCAGCATCCAGTAACTACTCCCTAATTCTTCCAGGCAGAAAATCATCCTTGACCAAGGGAAACCTGTCTTGCCATTGTGTTGTTGGTTATGGTCCTCCAATTGTGCTTTTGAGTGATGACTTTCCAGAAGTGATCACTAGAGACAAAAACTTTTGCTTCAAATGGAAATGAGCCCGTAGTGCTGTGGTCATTCAGTTGCGATTGACTCCGTCGACTAGTTTGTTGGAGCGAGCTAGGAATTCAGCCAGCCCACGAACCCATCTGATTAGAGCCTTGTCCTCCACCTCCGCCCCCTTCCCGTCGCTTGTTGGCTTTAAACTTGTTGCGTGCGAGTGCTTCACAACGTTTACACTTGTCTTGACTTCTCCTTCAGTCTCTTCGACTTTCTCCCCTCGAGCAAAGATTTCTGGTGTCGGCTAGGGTTGGGCATTTAGACCTAATTTATATAAATTAGAAACAATTAGTAAATTAGGCGTTTAGGCAATAATAAATTAGATTCTAATTATATGCGTCACATGATCTGAAACGTGATCTCGGGGCGGAATATCCTAATATCCGGCGGGGCTATAATACTAAATTACTAGTATCGTTAACCTTTATAGACGAAAGACTTAAACTTAGGAGAGTATTTATACAAATAGAAGAAGAAGACGACGAATCTAATAAGGGTATAGGTAATAATAACGAATTAAGTAACGAGGAAGAGGTTTAGTATTAATGATTCTATTAATTAAGTACTCTTCTATATACATTTTTAGTAGTCTTTCTAGTGAATTTTGTCTATATTTACACTACTAAAACTATGCCAAGATTATAGATTAGATGCCAAAATATAAATTACGCTAATTTACGTGTCTATAAATTAGATTTAGTAAATCTAAATTTAGATTCGACAACCCTAGTGTCGGCGTATTGCCCACACCCATCAGTCACGATCTCAGAACGTAGTGTTCTTCCACATGGCCCACCGCATTTCTGGATGACTCTCTTACACATATTGGCTTAGATACTGCGTTGTGGTGTATGAGATGGGAAATGTTGTGATTCAGGGTTGTTTTGTATGAGGAAATATGTAATGTGAGGGTTGTTGTTTTGACCTTCAAGTCTCTGGTCAAGAAAGACCCTTCTATAGACGCAGGCTAGCACTTGTACTATGATGTGTGAATAAATAAAATCTCCTGATTATAAATATAGACACGTGTTTCGTATAGCAACCAGGTAATCTTTTTTTCCCTGAAATGAATGTTAGATTGGACCTTGAATGTACAGTACAAGACTTATTAGGTTGCCCTGCGTCGTAATAACACGCACCCACTTTTGCGATGGGGAGACGTATGGATGTCACTTCTTTTGGTGATCCAAATTGATCCCTGGTCAAGTAAAAGCAGCAAACAAACTTGGAAATTTAGCGAGATCCCAATTCTCAGTAAAGAGTCTTTATACTGATAGTCTCTGAATAAGCACGGTATTGGTTAAAACGCCTCAAAGTGGGATTGACACTGATGAAGTGAACCAAAACAATTATATAATACTTGTAACATACTGTTTATTTAGTAGAACCTGATTGCCTAGCGAGGAATCATGAATGTTTGGCGAAGCTTGAGAAGTGTAACAAGAATTGATGCATCAACAGCGTTCGGCACTTGGAATACGATTCCAAGGATTCCAAGATTCCATTCCAAGGTAGAATATTCCAAAGGCTCTCTAATTTGGAATAGAATATTCCAAAGGATAAGGCCTTGGAATTTAGAATTCCAAGGGATATATATATTTCACTATTCAACTAATAAGAGAGCTCTGTTTGTTGTAAAGTAAGGACTGAAAGTATAATTTGACTAAGGTGAATTCGAGTGGTTTTATACTGTTTACACCGGCAGTCTACGATTTTGTGTGCCGCTAGTCCAGGAGACGTAGATACGTGTATAATTTGAGGCTCGTTTGCGTAGGGTGAATGTGAGAGGGTTTAGAGTACGTATACTAGTAGTCTAGAAGTACGTATGCCGCTAGTATAGGAGGCGTAAATACGAGTATTTAAGGCTCTTTTGCGCGTCCTAGTAAGATGTGTAGGGGCGATATCGTAATATTATTGTTATAGTATTAATAGTATAGATACGATTCTTAAGGCTAGGCTTACTATTAGTCGCTCGGACCGGAGGTACCTTTTTACGGATCATGTAAGGAGTTCTAACTAGAATTCCAAATATTTCACCCTTTGGAATAGAATATTCTAGCACTTATACTATTTGGAATAGAATATTCTATAGGGGAGTCTTGGAATAGAATGGAATTATAAATGCCGAACGCTGTGCATCAATGCTTGATTCTGTTCTGTATTATATAAACAAATCACTCACACATTACAAATTTACTACAGTAGGGTTGAAGAGTCTTGCTCCATTCTGCTTAAAACCATCTGTGAATTCCTTCTAAACGGTCCCGGAGATGTCCCCACGTCTATATATCATTCAAGACACTAAAGTAAGCCATTTGAATACAGTTGTAAGTCTTTGACGCTATTACAAACAGTCTAACTTGAATGACGTCAACTCACTTTCATTTAATCAACCGTACAAATGTTACCTTTGATCTCTGACAAATCCTTGAGATTGTTCAAGTCCAGTCGAACTTAGCGATACGCTTGTTTTTACCTATGAAGTCTTTAAAGAACCTTTCGCCTAACTGATTGAACCTTTTTATTGAATTTTGGTTACCTTTTTACAACACTCTATTATCTGAGGGCCGCTAGGAAACTATCTTATGTTCTCCTACGTGAAAGCGACGCTGGAATTATATGCCGTATAGTGCCCAACTCATAAGTGTATGGTCCATTGATCTGTGCTATTGTAACCCTCAAATCGACGAATTGATCAGCACTACCAGTGATTCGTCAATTAATACGCATGGTGGATTAGACGGTTTTATTTGATCACTTCTAGGATGCGAATTATTCGTCACTTTTATTAATAAATAAAGTTGGGTTTTGATTCAAGCACACCCCTCGCCTAAGATAGCAAATAAAGCAACCCAAAAGAAGGGGTAATTAAAGCATAATCTCTACGCAACAAACATACAAAAAGTGAAGCTATTCCCAGATACGATTATTTTGCCTCTGGTTTACGTCCGGCACTAGCTTTCGCTCCGTCTCGTCCCTTTTTTTCAGTCTAGCTATTTTCACACTATCGTTAAGTACGAAGTGAAGTATTGGTAAGAACAGTGGTAGTGGGGAAGTAAGAAGGGCTAGGGAACACAGACCCTTATATAAATTTGTATAATATTGTGATATTTACTTGCCACATTCCATTCCTCTTCCACACCCACCACTCCACTTGTTTCACACCGTAACAAACTATAAAAAAAGCTTATTATAGAATGGATTATCATATTTGTGACGCCCATAATGGTATTCCGCAAATTTATTGTACGGCGAATACAACAGTCTAATTGGTCAAACCGGCAAATCCGGGGTTACCATAGCACAGATCAATAAACTGTGATCGGTAAATATGCTATGGTAACCCCAAAATATAAGCCTTAGTTAATTAAACTATTAAAACTATGGCACTATAGATTTTGACGGATTAGAATATAGCAGTGGTACTAGTAAGTATATTAATTAATTCTATAATATACTTTTATCATAGATTAGGGAGGTATAGAATGAATAAGTAAGTAGGTATAGAATAAGGATGTGAGAGGCCAGACCTCGAATAGCTCAAAGGTGTGGTTTCGAATATTCAATTAAGAAGTGCGTGAAGACTACATACATGCGAGCTCTTCCTCTATATAGAGAGAGGAAGAGCTTCCTGAATATTCCAAGAAACTTGCAAGAAACTTGAATGACGAATAAATGATGTCAGAAGAATAAAACAAGAAAGTGTGGAAAAGTAGAAACCTGTTTGGCAGTGGGGTAATGGCCAGTGCTAAGCAGGGACTTTGGTCAGTGCTTAACGAGGACTTTGGTCAGTGCTTAACGAGGACTTTGGTCAGTGCTTAGCGAGGGCATGGCCCGAGCCTCCATCATGGGTTCCAACCCTCACAAAGGAATACAATATAGGTCTTAACTATAATAACCCACGGTATCAACTTCTATAAAGGACTATATTTCACATCTACTCTATATATTATTATTCCCCTCTTATCTAATACAGGAAATAGAGGACTAGCGTGGCGTTATGCTTTAGGTACTTAGCTATTTGTGTTTGTTTACTCTCTAGGCGAGGGGTGTGCTTTGATTGAAGATTGACTTTTATTAATAATAATCAAGACGAATAATTGGGCAGTAGGGATTAATCAAATGGTACCGTCTGTTCTATTATAAGTACTAATTGACCAAAAGATCGTAGTGTTGATCAATTCGACGAAATTATGGTTATAATAGCACAGGTACAGATGAGCGCGCAGAAAGATAATTTTGCAAATTGTAATTGCTTGTGATGAATGAGCTTTTGAGAATCGCAAGTAATTTTTTCGGATTAACAAATCAAGGGTTCCGACATAAAACTAGCTCCATCTGAATCTCTTGTAAACATTTCCAAAGAATTTGTGATAATAACCAGAAATCAACTTGCATTCACTTTCGTGCTGCACAAACTGCGTGGCCGCTTTGAACCACCCTCGGAGTTACTTGTTTCAAGTGATCCCCGAAACATCATGACGTCCCCGCAACCCCAACATAAAAGAACCGCCAAACAACGACAAGACATATCGATCCAAACTTAATTTGGAAACATAGCTGATCCTATGGTCTTCGCTCATCGGTTCAGTAAGGTGCATCGAACAATAATAACAACCGCGAGGTCCAGAAAGATGTCTTCTGAATCAAAAACGACTCTTCTCATGCCATATTCACCGAAGTCACACCCCGAAGTCAAGATACCTAAGCTCATCTACGGTACTGAATGGAAAAAAGAACGGCAGGATTGGTATATGATGCGATCAAGTCTGGATTCCGAGGGATTGACACCGCTGCACAACCACGCCACTATCAAGAGGATCTAGTATGCCAAGGCATAAAGAAAGCAATCAATGAGGGGATTGTCACGAGGAAGGAGCTACATATAAAACACCCCCCCCCATGTGGCACATTGGAGTCGTTCCTGATCAATAAGCAAAATAGATACAAACAAAATTCACAGCTCCATCTGGCCAAGACCTAGATAATATGCCATATGATGCATCGGCACCACTCGCGACACAAATCACAGATTCCATCAACTCTTCTCTCAAGAACTTCACATTCTCATCGGGCGAGGAACCATACATCGACACATTAATCCTCCACTCACCACTAAAGACCCTTGAGCTTAACTATGAAGCCTTCAACCTACTGGCGTCTTACGTGCCCACCAAGATCCGTAGTCTTGGAATATCAAACACAGATTTAAAGACTTTGACGGCCATGCACGAAAAGGCGTCCATCCCACCCTGCATAGTACAGAACCGCTTTTATCCTGCTACGGGATATGATGTACCACTTCGCGATTTCTGTCTGTAAAATGGCATGTTGTATGAGTCTTTTTGGACATTGACCGGAAATCCTGGATTAATGAAATCAAAGACCGTTCACACTTTGGCAGAACTTCTGGGTGGCGATAAAGCGCTGGCGCTCTATGCACTTGTCATTCTTGGCCTTCGTGGAATCAGCATTCTTGATGGAACAACCAATCTAGAACACATGACGGGCGATATTCAAGGCTTGGATAGAGTTGTTGGATTGATTAGCACGGGAGGCGACTTAGAAGAGGAATGGGGTGGACGGTTAAGGATTTTAAGTCTCTCATGTAAGGAGCGTTTGGCAGATTTTTTTACGCCGCCTACCCTTGCTGTGCAAGTCCACAGGTGCATGTACTTCATAAGTTCTTTTAACCACTCTGTGCGTACACTCTGGCGTACACTTTCAGCCTTCTATCAAACCCCTACTCGAACTTTTAAAATGTTCCCAAGAAAAACATTCTGTATACAACTCTTCCTGCGCCAGATATTGCATTGCAACTCCTAGCTCGACCCGCTTTTCCGGGCGTTAACAAACAGCATAAGAAAGAATCCGAAAATGGGCACGAAACCGTTGCTGCTGCTAAATTAGCTTTCGGGTCTAAAAAGTATCGGCCTGGCACGTCAGCGAATCGATAATTTTAGAGTGTGAATGTGCCAACCTCCTAACTATGAGATAAAATAAATGTTGAGTTTGGCACTGGTGAAGAACTACGAATTCACACCAACGATTTACCAGTTGGCCTTGGAGTATATAAAAGTGAAGTGGTAAGTTATGTGGTTTTGTGATTACCTAAGAACCTTTCGACTAATCAGGATTTAAGTAGTTTTCGATTAAATTTCTTTTTTTACGGCTTGTTCGGCTCGAAAAGATCCTGATTCCGAATTAGGGTTCTACTATATAAATTAGAGTTTAGTACTCGATATAAGACCTAATTTATATCGAATATTGAAACTATTAAGCTTATATATTAAATTTAAAGTAAATACTACTTCGAATAACGTGCATGTATAGCGAACCGGCCAAACAAGCGAACCGGCCAAAACCCGGCGACCCCACCACACCTCCACGAAATATTAA